AAATATTCAACAGCAAGTATAAAGTCAAGAGCATCTGAAAACAAAAAGGAAATTCCCCAAGAACAAAAAGACAAATGACAGAGAAAAAGTAAGAAAATGAGAGTAAATTCAGTATCTAATTAAGAGTTCATTTCTAGAGAGAACAGATGAAATAGACAATGGGAAATTATCAGAGAAATAATATAAAAAAATGCTTCTATACTGAAGAAGCCCATGAATCTCCAGAACAATGAGTGTAAGTAAAACTAAAAAAAGGCAGTGAGATCATCCTGAACTTTCAGAATGGCCAGAACCTGTAAGCTTTTAGACAGAAAAGAAACCCAAGAGTTGGATAGCAGAATGGCATCAGACTTCTCAGCTGCAATGCTGGGAGTGAGAAGACAGTAGAATAGTTCTTTCTAAACTCTAGGGGAACATGAGTTCTAACTCAGAATTCCATAACAAGCCAAACTATGAACCACTTGTGAGAGTCTGCTAAAGACACTTGCAGATGTGCAAGGTCTCAACATTTATTTTCTGTGCACCTCTTCTCAGGAAGCTAGTAGTAGAGAATGTGCTCTAGTAAAATGAGGGAATAAGCCAAAGAAAAAGACATGGAATTCATACCATGGAACGGGAGATCCACCCCAGGATTAAAAAAGAACAGAATTTCCAGAAAGATGGTAAAAAGGAAGTTCCCAAAGGCAAACTATATGGCAGCCTGGGGAACAAGATAGAAGGCTCCCACAAGAATGTTTAAGGAGGACTGGGCATGGTGGCTTATACCTGTAATCCCTGTACTCTGGGAGGCAGAGGTGGGTGAATCGCTTGAGCTTAGAAGTTCAAGACCAGCAAGAGCAAGAGCAAGACGCCATCTCTAAAAATAGCTGGGTGTTGTGCAGACTCCCATAGTCCCAGCTACTCAGGAGGCTGAGGCAAGACAATTGCTCAAGTTCAGAGTTTGAGGTTGCTTTGAGCTATGATGCCATAGCACTCTACCAAGGATGAACAGAGTGAGACTCTGTCTCAAAAAAACACAAATAAATAAAAAGTAATAAAAAGAATGTTTAAGGTGGAAAGGGAAGGTGGAAAGGAAATCTTTGGGATTCCCATTGGGGATGAACCTGTGATGTCCTGGAGATTTGAAGATAAGAGTGTTATAGGCTGAATTATATTTCCTTCCAAATTCTTGTGTTGAAGCACCAACTCCCAGTAACTCAGAATGTACATTTGTAGATAGGGCCTTTAAAGAGGTGACTAAGTTTCAATGAGACCCTTAAGGTGGGTCCTAATCCAATCTGACTGGCATCAGAATAGGAAAAAGGAATGTGGACACAGAGAGACACCAGGAATATGCTGGCAGTGAGAAGGGACCATGTGAACGCCCAGCGAGAAGGCAGCCCTCTGGGAGCCCAGGAGTTACTTTGTTACGGCAGCCCTCACAGGGTGAGGAGAGAAAACTATACAAATGAGGAATGGGATCATTAACTTCAGAAAAAATCCCAAAAGTTGTACAAAAAATGAGACTCGATTATCCTACAGTAGGTGACTCAGCAGTGACTAATATTTATATGGTTGTAATAATGTAAAAATTGAACATTGATTTGATTATACTGAAGGTGGGAAGGGTGTGTGTGTGTGTGTGTGTAAGTGAGCGCACTCACATGAGGACACATACAAGTGCCTGTGTGTGTTAAAAGGCCTAAATCATTCTCTTTCATGGTAGGAAGTCAATAGGTAATTTTTAAAACTGAATTTTTTTAAATGATAAGCATATTATTTTAAGGCATGGGGTTAAATTTCAGAGGAAAACCTTGAAGTGATTGAAGTGGTTACCTCCGAATAAGGAGGGAGGGCAGGGGAAAGAAGCAGACAAGGGAACTTTTGCTTTTTTATCGTTATCTCCTTGATATCACTCTGATGGAAATCGAGTTTTAATTTATAAAAAGAGGGGGAAAAACCCCCAGGTATATGCCCCAGGTATGAAAAGGGTTTCTATTGGGCAAATGAGTGCCACTTTCGGTTTGATAAGAATGGAACACCTTTGCAGCAGGGAAACTGTCAGTTGGGTGGAACCCGGAGCCCACTGGCAAAAAACACGAGCATGGGGATTTAAGCAACCTATTTCCTATGGAAAACCTGATATGTCTGAACGGGAACCTGATAATGTGCTAATAGTAATGTGCTACACTGGGGTCAAGGTTTTGCTCATATCATTACAGAACAGCAAGAGAAGCAGTAGTTGCCTTCCCACTGGATCAAACCTTGACATGAGCAAGAGACCTCGCCAGTCTTCAGGATTTTCTAAGTAACATCTAATTACGTGTCTGTAAATGTTGATTTGATGTATAGCAAAACACATCTGTGACTAATGTTCCTTGTTTATGTAATCTTTTGCAATAGTTTGGCTTGGCAGGTCAGTCTTATACTAAACATAATTTAAATTTGCTGCAATTTAAACATAACAGGAGATTTAAAATATTCTATTATAAATTAGATCCCATAATGAGTAGCTAAGAGAAATCATTTTAGGTAGTAGTAGTGTGGTTCTAGAAAAATAAGAGGGTATACGCAAATGACACTTTCATCAAATTGTTTATCTAATTTATGTGGCTTAAACATAGCCTTTTAAAGATACCATTATTTTCATTCACTGTGAAACCTGGATCAACCTCCCCTGAGGAACCTCTAACTGCCCCCCATATCATCGTCCAGTTTCAGCAGGAAGTAGTTTGGAGTGGTCAGCGTCCTTTTTCCCAATGGCAGTTAGAGCTTCTGTTTAGAGAGGAAGGATTGCTACAGGGTTCCACCAACTAGGGAACCCCTCATTCTTTAGGACTGGGTGAACTCAGCACGCATCCTCTGGGCTCTAGTAGG